AAATAAATAAATAAATAAATGTACTGGGGGCCTGCAAGATAGCTCAGCAGTCTAGAGCACTTGCTTAGGCAAGTTTAGGCAAGCATGCAGGGACCACAGTTCAATCTCTGGCATCACATGCCATGCCAGCCCTGATCACAGGGCAGGCTGACCAGACACAAAAACAAAAACAAACAAACAAAAAAAGACTAAGAACAATACATGGCACAAACTAAATGCTTAATCAGTTAATGCTCACAATAATCCTAGTACAAATTCTCATGTTTAACATATGAGATAAGGAAATAGCAACAACTTTTTGTTGTTTTCTTTTTTGAGTCTATGTAGGCTCAGGCTCGCCTTGTACTGGAGCAGTGACCCTCCTGCCTCAGCATGCCAAGTGCTAGGATTGCAGGCATGTGCCACCACAACCAACAATAGGAGTAACATTTTGCTGAAATCATAGAAAAAATGACAAATATTTTGTTGTTTTTTTTGAAGTAGGGTCTCATTATGTAGCTCCTCCTGCTTCAGTCTCCATGGGCTAAATTTATAGGCATAAACTACTACACTAGATTACAAGAAATGTTTCTTTGCTTTTGTTTTCTGAGATAGGGTCTTGCTGCATAATTCGGGCTGGCCTTGAACTCACTATGTTGTCCAGGCTGGTCTTAAACTTGCAGTGATCCTCCTGCCTCATCCTCTGGAGTGCTGGGATTACAGACATGTGCCACTATGCCTGGCTAAGAAGAAAGATTTTAAATTCAGATACACAAAAGGCTAATTTCTTTTCACTGTATGTCATCCCTGACTTTTTTAGAAGAAAAAGACCACCATGTCCCTGAGCAAACAAACTTTTATACCTTGGGGACAGTTTGAAAATGGACTATACAGCTGGACATAGTAATGCCTCCTGTAATCCCAGCACTTAGGAGGCTGAGGCAGGAGGACTACCTCAAGTTCAAGCCTGCAGTACATAAGCAAGACTGTCTCAAAAGAACAAAACAGGCTGGGGAGACAGCTCTTGTAGTGCAACCCTGTACCAACCAAATCAATCAATCAGTCAATCAAAACAAAACAAAACAAAAGCTGGGCGTGGCAGTGCACTTCTGTTATCCCAGCACTTGGGAGGGGGTAAAGTAGGATTGATAGGAGGCTTAGGCTAGCCTGAATTGCATAGTGAAAACTGTTTCAAAAAAGACAAGGAATCCTCAAGCTGTTTAAAATTTCAGTGGCTTCTCAGTATACACAGAATAAATTCTACCTTCCTTCCCTCTGGCTCAATCTTCTATCATTCTCCCTTTGTTCACTCTGCTCCAATCACGTAGGCTACCCATACTAGTCATGTTTTTTCTGAGTTTCAGGTACTTGTGTAGAACATTCTTCCCCTAGATCTGCATAGGCCTGGTTTCTCATCATTCAAAGCTCAGCTATAGGAGACCTTAGACCATCCAAAAGAAGAGTACTGTTTTCCATGCTATCACATTATTGCTTGGAGTATAGTTCAGTAATAGAGCACTTGCCTAGCATATGAGGTCCTGGGTTGACGCCAAGAATCCCCCCCCCAACACACAAGCTATTCACTTTATTGTTTTAACCTATTCACAGCATTTAGCACTATTTGAAATATAACTTGCTTATTCCCACTGTATAATGGCAACAGATTTTTGGGCCAGCCAAATAGCTCAGTGGATTAAAGCACACGCAAGCAGGCACAGGGGCCGGGGTTCAATCCCCAGTCCTGCTGTGCCAGCCCCAACCCCGGGGCGCACTGAGATGGCAATTGAGACTGGGCATGGTGGCGCGCACCTATAATCCCAGCTCTTGGGAGGCTGTAAACAGGCGGATCTAGATTGGATACAAGTCCAATCTAGTAGTGAGACCCTGAATACCCTGTAAACTCTGCCCTAAAATACAAAAAAAAAAAAAAAAAAAAAAAAAAAACAAAAACACTAATTTTTTAGGTCTAAAGTGTTACACAAATAACTCACATTTTTGGTCCACCTTTTCACCCCATCATAACCCTTGGTACGGAGTTTATCATAGAAGAAACTGTTGAAGAAATGCACCTGTGCCAATGACACAAAGAACTGGATGGAATTTAAAGACCTCAGAGCTTCCCACCAAGTACCCCCACTCCAGTCTACTCCATTTCATGTGGCTCTAACAGGTTCCATTGACCCCCACTTGTATTCACTACCCAAAAATTACAGTTTTTATCCTTTTCTTATAGCTATGTTCTCATCCCAATCCTTGGGGCTAGCAAAACATCTAAGACTGGTAGAAAAGAATTGATATTTTCAGGACCAAGTTTATTTTTTTTTGGGGGGGGGTGGAACCAGGGATTGAATTTAGGCCCTTGTACTTGCCAGGGAAGCGCTTATCCTACTGAGCCATCTCCCCGGCCCGAAATTGATTTTCCTGGCTTTTAATTAGAAGCCAGAGTGCATAGTCTAAGTGGAATAAATTCATGTGTATATAACCTTATGTTTTATTTTGTGGAACTGGGGATTGAATTCAGGCCTTTGTGCTTTCTAGAGAAGCACTTATTCTTCTGAGCCATCTCCCCAGCCAGGACCAAGTTTAAAGGTTTGAAATATTAACATCTACTACCCCTTTCCCCAAAATAGATCTTTATATATACAATAGAAAAGATGAAGGGGACTAGCTGGGCCTACCTTTTCAGGAACTGTGTCCATGACTAGGTCTCCATACATGTTCATCACCTGGGAATAAGATGAAAGGCAACTTGCCATGGGGGTGTGGTATGGGTATAGAGCTCTCCACGGAGAGAGCTCCACATACCCTGCTGCCTGTATCTCCTTTCAGCCCTGTCCCTCTACCTCTTCTTACCTGGTCATTGAGCCAGTTCTGTCCATACAAGGTCCCCAAGTCATCCATAGTCAGCACATGCCGCTTATAGGAGACTCGGAAGCCCCTCACCATGGCATTGCCTGGCATCCGCTGGTATGACTGGATTAGCTGTAGTACCAGGCCCTTCCTGAGTAGACCAAAGGAGGAAACTCGTAAGAAATGATTGGAGACCATGGAGCACATATAAATACCTTCCAGAAATACCTCCTACTACCTGGGGTAACAATCTAAAATGATTTTTCCCACCATGTCACTGGTTCTTTTGAGGAAGCCCATTACCCAGAAAGGCACATGACTATGTATTTCAGAGTCCTTGGTAGAGACTCTCCTAGGTGGTTTATAGGGCCTTGGCACCTTGTTTACAAAATTGTTTCCCAGGTATATCCCTGTGAGAGAAAAAGCAACAGCATTCTCTCCCCATACCTTAAATCCCAGCCCTCCTTTGAAGGACATCTGTCCTTCAAACCTCACCTAGATGGTGTAGAGAACTCCTGTTGGAAAATGTCCTCCAACTTTTCTACTACCTCATCAGTGCTGAGGGGAATGAGGCTACCATAAGTCTGAAGGAATTCATCCAAGATGCCTGAGTGGAGGAAGGAGAGGAAAGTGAGACTCTCACCTAGGAACTGACTTAGGGAAAGAAACTAGGTCCATGGGGCTGGGGAGATGGCTCAGTGGAATAAGCACTTCCCTGGCAAGCCCAAGGACCTGAGTTCAATCCCCGGTTCCACAAAAAAAAAAAAAGAAACTAGGTCCTGTAAGGCTTACTCTGCACACAAGTCACATGTTCTTCCCGTAGGGGGCTGTGCTGGCCAGCTTTCTCCCCAGGCCGCTCTGCTTCTTCCGCAGCACCCAAATCAGAGCCCTGAAAAAGTTCCTGAGCCACATGGTCCCCAATGCTGCACACATTGCTGATGAGGATGCTGGCATCAGGGGGTGCCAGACTACGCTCCCCTTCTGGCCCAGGTGGTCCCCCAAAGCCATTGGGAAGAGTACATGACAGGAGACCTACAAGGAAAGGCAAATAGGACAGGGATGAGAAAATGACCCCCGTTAAAGAACAGGAGGATTGGGCAAGGGATTTAGCTCAGGGGCACAAGTGCCTGTCTGGCAAACACAAGGTCCTGAGTTCAATTCCCAGAACCAAAAAAAAAAGGAAAAAAGAAAAAAAAAAAAAGATTAACTGATGTATACAAACAAAACCACAAGGATGGATTTAAGTGCAACCTACCAATTTAAACTAAGAAACAGAGACCCTAAAGCATAAGACAAAGATGTCTCACACTTTCTAAAGCAAAAAAAGTGGAAATTCCTATTTACAGAAGAGGGAAAACACAAAACAAAAATCACAGAGATTATTTGTTCCTAATATATGCTTAACACCTAGTTTAGTACCTGGTATATAATAAATAATAAGTACTTGACTAACAAAGATAGGTTTTTTTTTTTTTGCCGGGGTGGTGGCACAGGCCAGGATTTAGTAGATCGAGGCAGGATAATCATTGCAAGTTCAAGGCCAGCCTGAACTGGATACTGGGATCCTGTCACAAACACACACACGATATTTTTTTTAGCTAGAGTTCTCTGAAGGGAAAATGTTCTGAGCAATAATGTCACAGACAAATGTATGGATAATATACTCCCCTAATGGGATATTCCAATTCAGCATCATGAAAAAAAGCATCATCTGGAGATGTACACATAGGAGCTCTTATCTTAAGAGGTGGAAAATAATTTGAAGTGGACAAGACTGATTTTCTTAAACCGTAGCTCCCTTTATTCCAGGGTTGTTTCTCAGCTATGTCTCAGTTTATTTCCTACTGCTAGCTACTCTGGACCTCTTAGCTTGGTTTCCTTAGGCTTAGTTCTCACCACATCAAGAGGTTCCTGGTGCTCCAGGCTCTTAGCCCTACCCATCTCCACCCTGGCCCCTTTTCCCACCTTACCCGTGTCAGGGTCCAGAGGAGACTTTGGAGTCCACCTCAGTCCATCTTCCTCCATGGGGGGCCCAGAGGGTATTGGTGGAGACCCTCTCACCCCATCCTCAGCCATGAGAGCACCTAGCAGACCCAGTCGAGGCGGGGGTGGCCCCCTGGGAGAGTCAAAACGACAGCAGGGGGATGGCACCTGTGGCGTTGCACCCCCCTCCTGGGGTGAGAGATGGTTCTTGGGGTGTGCAAGGCTCCTCCGTCGGCCCCGGTGGCGCCCCCAAAGCTTCCAGTGGAATGTCAGCGAGGTGCTTTTTGAATAGAGCAGCATCTGGAAGGCTCTCATGGCTCTGCGGCGGCGCTGTGAACAGGTTTTTCGATGAGTGGGGCGGGGAGGGCGAGACCGCTGGGAAGCTCCCAGTTGACTCCATCTGGGGTGCAACCTCCATGCTGCCACTTCCTCTTCCTCATCTTCATCTTCTTCATCTTCCTCCTCTTCCTCCTCTTCACTAGCTGAGGCATCAAAAGAGGGTCTAGGAACAGGGAGACGCCTGGCTGGCACTGTGGTCCCTGACCCAGGATCTGGCCCAAATCCTCCACCTGACTTGAGCCGTGGTTTAGGAGGTGGGGGCCAACGAAGACGCTCCCGCCTGGGGCTTGTGTAAGCTGTGCCAGGTCTGGGAGGCTCAGGCCCCCAAGATCCAGTCCCTTGTATAGTCTCTTTCATCTTCCAGTATCCTGTAAAACAAAGTTTAGAGTATCAGAATCTATCTATCATCCCCATCCACACTGCTTTACCGTCAGCATGCCTTCTCTGGATTCAAAGCAAATAAACTAAAGAAAAAAACATGCTCCAAAACTCAATAGGTTTTTTTTTGTTTGTTTGTTTGTTTTTTAAATGTATTTGGTACAGGGTCTCACTATGCAGCTCGGACTTGTAGTGATTCTCCTGTTTGCAGTCTCCCCAGAGCTGGGATTACAGGTATGTGCGACCAAGCTGGTCTCAGTGGCCAGCACAACGTGCATGAGGAAGGCGGGGCCAGCGCAGCACGTGGTGGTGGAGTGGAACCTCCTCCTGCGCTTGCCTAAGCAGGCACTTAATAGTTTCAGTTCTTAAGGGATCCTTTAGAGTCTGTGTCCTCATTTCTTCCTTGCCTGGGTAGAGACAAGGAAAAACGGCTAAGCAGCAGGCCAAAGGGGTTTTATTTCTTGGAAGCCTGGGGGCTGCCCAGTATTTTTAAACTCTACTTCTCTTATTTTAATTACACCAGGAGTATCTTATGAGAGCCTGGTACCCATAAAAGTGATTTAGCTCAGGGAAATGGATCAGCACAGGAATCTTAACGCAGTATAGAGGCACCTGCGGATAACAACTTTCACAGTGAAACTGTGCTCCAGTGTGGGAAGACAACCCCCTCCCCCATGAATGAGATGGGGAAGGTGTCTGTGCATGCTGAGGTCATTTCAGGTGCAAATGGGTGTACCAGGGTTTTGGCTGTGGGGGTTGAGTCTGGCAAAAGGATAAAGATTTTGAAGCAATGGAATCATATTGGTGCTTAGGCGACCAAATCAAAGCGTTGGGGCAGAAGCGAGCCACGAGAACCAGATCGGACCGGCCCAGCTCCTGCCCCAACTCCAGGGCCAAGAACGCATCCCAGCACCTGTATGGTCCTATAAGCTCGGACGGTCGGCGTACAAGGGCCTTAAAAAGCTCCACCGAAGGCCTCTCGGTCTGGGTTTGGTGGAAGCGAACCCTAGGAATGGAAGAGACCACGATAAGGCGCGGGGGAGGGGAAGGGGCGTCCTCACCGGGAATGGGGAAGCCGGGCGGACAGGCCCGAGGGCGGGCGTCTCCGCCTCAGGCTTCCCGGCTCATCTCTTAGGCGCCGGCAGCGGCCCCGCCACTCCTGCTGTTTTCAGGCGCTGCCGTCTCAATTCAGGTTTCCAACGCTTCTGGGCCGCGCGCCTCGCCGCGCCGCCCCACCTCTGCCACCTCTTGCTCGGTTTCGGCTTCAGCCTCCACCTCCACCACTACCACCTCCCCCACCTCCTCCCCCTCCCGCAATCCCCAGGCCCACCGGCCGTGGCGGCGCACGATTAATACGTCACACCCGGCAAAGAGCGCCGGCGCGGCCAAAACGATCTGAAGCCCCGCCTACCCGAGAACGTAGATGCCACGGGACCTGTTGGCCCCCGAGCGCCACGCCCGGGTGCGCCTGCGCATATCCTCCGACCTGGACCTGGCTGCTCGCGGCGGCCCCGCCGGTAGCCTGTATGCGCCTGCGTATCGTCTTGTTGCCTTTCGTCCTGCGGCGTAGCCTGGGGGAGTTCCATTCGCGTCGGCTTGAGCCGGGGGTTCCTACAGCGGGGCGCCCCGGAGTGAAGTCAGAAGGGCAGGGAGGTCCCATTACAAGGACTGCCCAAGCCAAGGCGCTAGGAGAACTGAGTCGGGGTATCACACATTCTTTTATTTAACTTAAAGTGAGCATTGAGCAGAAGAGCTCAGAGGACTGAGGCAAGAGCAATGTCAGGGCATAGGATACATCGGTGGCTTCCTGGGCACCAGTCCCATCCGGGAGGGACTTGAAGTGGCGTTCCACGCCACGGGAATGGAAAGCATGAACGGCAAAACGTGGGACCCGAAGAATAATATGGCTGCGAAAGGGCCTCCCATCTTCGTCTTCGGGCACCCGCTGCAGACGGGCGCGTAATAGATGCATCTCTGGAGATAGTCACGGAAACTGTGGCACAATAGATAGAAGCGAGGAGGAGGCTTTTGTTGGGTGAAAAAGTTGAGGATACTTGGAGAGAGGCGTGGCATAGGGACGTAGGGATTTTTCCGAGTTGGAGGAAGACGCTTCCTGACTTCTGCCAAGAGGCAGGACTGTTCCCTCAAATAGCCACTAGATGGTGGTGCTGTCCTGGATGCATTCCAATAGACCCATAGCGGGCCTGGACAATGCCTTGCACCCTCCTTCCCATTCCCACGCACAAACACAAGGATACAGGGCTTCATGGGAGATAAAAGCAAGATATTCTATCTCTTTAATACCTGTTAGCCCAGAGTTTAGGAAAAATAGAGTCATAAAGGCAAACGCAAGGAGAGGGTTTCTCTTCCTGCCTATTCCCCAGGTTTTGCTAGCCAGCTCTTTTCCATCTCCAGTATGTTTGTAACCCATACTGGCCTTCCCAGCTCACTGTTTATAGCACAGTCACAGTTTCACAAACCCCAGAAAGGTTCCATGTGGAGAGAGGCTAAGTTTTGCCTTTGCCCGGGGAATTACAACACTGAGAATATCCCCTTGCTGTAAATGGAAGACACCTGAGAAAAGAAAAAACACGTGCTCAGCGAAGCACAATCGTCCACAGTCTGATGTTTCACTCTGCCTTTTCTGCTTCCATCTTTCCTGTTTCATGTCAGGACCTAGGTTCTGTCCTTTGTCCCTCAGATCTACCTCTCACCAGGCTTCCAACCCCCTGCTTTGTTCACACCACTCCCCCCAGTCAGTGAGGTCCTGTTCTACTCACATCTACCTTTCATTGCTCACATGGGTCTCACCTGCACTGTAGCAGCTATTGTAGGCCCTGTCAGGGTCAGAAGGCATGCTGCATATACATCGAAATAGAGTCTCCTGCCTTCCTTGGCCTTCCCGAGATACCACCTGACCCATGGTGAAAGTCACATCATGAAACAGGACCTAACAGGGAAGAAAGGACATATTGGAGAAAAACAGAATGGTGTAGCTTGGTTCTGAGAGTCCATAGGTACCGTGATATAGAAACCAGGGAACAAAGACGTTTGGTACAGAGAGATCAGGAACCCTCAGTACAGGGCATACAGACTCTGGGAGAAGAGTGCAGAGCCAGCCTCCAGGCCCCTGTATGAAGCTAGGGTATGTCTGGGGTTACCTGGCTATACAGCAGATAAACTCCAGCGTCCCAGACTCGGACAATGCATCCTTGGGCCTCCAGACCTCTCCCACGCCTAAAAGCTGGCTGCCACATCACCTCTGTCACATCAGAATCCTCTGGAGGTGAGGAGTGTGGCCGTCAGGATTTCTTTGCACTCTCAGACACACACCAGTTCTCCCCTTTTCATCTATAAGAGTCTTTCGGGCACCGGTGCCATCCCCAAGGTCCTGGATTGTGCCTCTACCCCAAAGCCATTATTTAAAATAGTGCTCACCCTTGGATGTAACGTTAATGGGAACAAGATGCAGAACTGAGTTTTTCTCTGAGGAGAGAAGGAGAAAATCTCAACAGTAAGCACATGCCCAAGGGCCCTGGTGTTCACCTTCCAGCCTCACCCAGGCTGGGGCTTGCAGTCCCATGCTGAACCATCACCTCCCGCCCCGGCTGTGCCCAAGGGCTCACTCTTCCGCTTCTGGGTGAGCACTGCTCTTTTCCTCCTCCTCCATCTCTCCCCATTCTCCCAGGCTTCCAGGACATCAGGTCTCTGCTCATGGAAAAAAGGTCTGCATTAGGCTAAGATGCTGGGATTTCAGAGAGCCTTCCTCCTCAGTTTTCCACCATGCCAGGAATGCCTCAGATCTCTCCTGCACTTTTCCCTGGCACTCTGTGCCTTGGTGCTGGCTGCCCTCCAAGATCTGTTAGGCAAAGAAGCGTTAATCTTTAACAGTTTCTTTTTCTGTAATGGCTGCTCCCTTGACTTCTATACCTAGGACCCTCTCTTGCATCCACTTGAAACTTCGTAGACTGGAAAGTTGGAACCAAAAGTCCCAGAGATCCTGCTGCTGCCCATCTCGCCACCACCCCCACTACCAGATTTCCCTTTCCCCTCACTCACCTGTTCGCCAAGACGCTGCCAGAGAGACCCTTCCCCTTTCTGGGAGGGTCCTCCACTCTTCTGTAGTTGGCTCACCTCTCTCCTTAGGCTTCGAAGCTCTGTTTGTTGGGTCAGCAGAGCAATGGCACAAGCCACAGCCCCTAGAGCTGCCCCACAACTCAACCAGAGAGCAACTGAGAGTGATGACTCTCGGACTGTGCACCCCATGTTGTCCAAGGGGCTCTTGGGGGACAGTGAGAAAGGAGATGAGGCTGGCATGAGCCAGGGACCCTACCAACAGCTGTGGTCTCAGGAATGGGGTGGCCAGGAGGTGGCTGAGGAGCGTGAGGGTGCAGGCAGTGGTGCAGAAAGCGTTACGCAAGGGAAAAATAAAAAGGAACTTGAGAATAAAAAGGAGGGAAGGGAAAGCAAGCTGGGGGTACTTTGGTGTTCCAAGCACCCTGCTGTGGGGCTAGTGTCACCTTGAGCCTCCCCTAGCCTCAGGAGAGTTTAGTGCCAGTCTCTCTAAGAAGAACAGGGCTGCCAGTGACACCCAGGAGGAGCGGCCAGTGCTCAGGAACGCGGGGTTGGCTCCAGAGTTGGGGGAGGGAAGGTTGGCTGGCTATGGGGCATGGTGCCAGGAGCAGGGATGGGGGACATGCTGGGCAGTGTGGAGGGTTTGGGGCGAGTGTTGAAGACCCTGTGGGCCAGACAAGGGAGAGACCCTTGTGGGAATTTGCTAGATGTGACTGAAAGTGAGAAAAGGGAGGTAGGGTTTGGGAGGGAGCAAACCAGGGACAAGAAACTGGCTGGGTGCTGGGGTTAAGGCTGGGGCCGGGTGTGTTGGAATAAGGCTTGCTCTGCTCCCTGTGCTGAACTTGGCAAGCAAAACTTCCTGTTTCCCGAGAAGAGCTCTTACATAAGGCTCTGGACTAAGACAAAGAACCAGCTCCAAGCCCCCCAGCCACTTCAGGATTCCTCCCCAGGACCCAGGGATCTAGATTCCCCAAATGCCCAGCTCTGCTACCCAGCCTAATGATTCCTGGCCTTCATTCCAGGGCAGCTTCCCCACTCCCATCTCCCAAGCGGCACCTGCTCAATGTCCTGAGGTCTCCAAGAGAAAGGGCCCTGCTCCTCCCAAGCAGGGACTCCCCCACAGGAGGAAGTTCACCTCCTAGGGAAATGAGGCCACCTCTGCAGTACCTTGAACAGAGGTTTTTTTCCTGGGCAGTGCACCTTTCTGCTCTGCCACAAGTGCAGTTGCAGGCATTCAGATCTCTGCTCCTTAGTGTCCACACTCACTTCCCATAGCCCTGAGCCCCAATAAAGAGTGAGAGAAACTATGTCTTATTCTCTTTAATATCCACTTACCAACATTTTGTCACAATAATAATAAAAATAATATCTGTTTTCAAAATCCACAGGGAATTGTCAAGGAGCAAGCTTGTCTTGGGCTCTTACCCCTCACATTTGGGAACTCCTGGCCCAGTTCCAGATTCTTTGGCTTCCAGCCACAAGTTCCAGCTCCTCTCAGTGCTTGAAGCCGGGTCTTCTGGACCCATCCTTGCCCACAGGTCAGTAAACACAATGTTCTGGGGAGTATGGCCAGGGGAGAGTCGGGGATAAAAGGGGGCATGGGAGGATCCAGGGTTTGGGAGCTAGTGAGGGGGGAGAGGGGTGTAAGAGAGGAAACAGAATGGGAAAACACGTGAAAGAGCCCTGGCAGCCTATGGAAGGAGGGGCAGATCTGTAGCCTGGAAGGCTTAGGGTGGGATAGAGGGATCTGGATGTTTAGAGCACTGTGCAGGGAGCCAGCACCCTAGGAAATCTGCCAGGAGACTGCTCCCTCAGTGAACTTGGAAGAGTCCAAAGTAGGTGAGGAAGGGGGCAGCTTTGAGATGGGCCCAAGGCAGTGTGCGGATCCGCAAGGAGGACCCTGGCCTCAGGGGCAACAGCCCTGACACCTGACAGAGTCGCAGCTGGGGCCCAGGGGAACTTGCTGCTGTGGCTGAGAACTCCTCCAGGCAGCGCAGGGCCAGCACCTCATCTACCAGCAAGTCCAGCTTCAGGTAAACAGCCTTGCCCTCATCAAAGTGCACCTGGGCGGGGGAGGGCCGGCAGAGTCTAGGCCTCTGCTTGTCTCCCCTGGATTTCCAATTTCCTTAGTGTCCAGGCAGCCCACCCCTCCAAGCCCTAAACCCTCTCTCCTCCAGCTCTTAACTTGTCCCCTTCTTTCCCCCAAAACTGAACCTTTCTCCCCTCGGTGAAGGTCTTACCCACCAAGCCAGGTAGTGCTTACCTGACAGTACAGGTAGTAGAGCCCAGCCCTGGTGACTGTAAATTCCCCAATCTGACGGTCATAGCGCAGAGGGTTGGAGCTGTTGATTTTGGCTTCTTCCCAGCCACTCACTGTCCCATCCACACCTGAAGTAGATGGTAAGAGATAAGGAAAAGCCCCTTTACCATATTGCCACACATTCCCCAGGGATCTGTTCAGTTTATAAACATTTAGGAGCTGCCTTAACTACAGAAGATAGTGATTGCCCAGCCTGTGGGAGGAGCTACACTCTATGGAGCCTATAGGGCAATAGGACACTATGTAAAGAAATCTAACATTCATCCACAGAAAGATTCAGGACAAAGGGTCATGAATGGTCACTTCCAGAGAGAAAAGTAGGACTGAAGGAGAGCTATGGGGGCTTTTACTCCACTGTGCTTACATTGTTTGCCTCTTTTATATTGAGAATGTATGTGTATATATTACTTGCATCATTAAAATTAGAAAAAATAAAATGACACCAGGGATTAGCTTTGCTTTTTTTTTCTTTTTTTTTGGTGGAACCAGGGATTGAACTCAGGCCCTTGCACTTGCCAGGGAAGCGCTTATTCCACTGAGCCATCTCCCCAGCCCAAAATGACACCAATAAATAAATGTCCAATATTTGATGGATGGATAAACAAATGTAGTCTGTCTACACCATGGAATGTTATTTCTGCCACTAAAAGGAAATAAAGTACCAAAATGTTATGCTAAGAAGTCATTCACATAAAGCACATATATTATATGATCCCATTTGTAGGAAATGACCAGTATTAGCAAATCTGTAGGCTCAGGAAGGAGATTATCAGTGGCTCAGGGCTGGGGAATGATGAGAATAGGGGGTAATGGTTGGCAGGTACAGGGCTTCTTTTTCAGGCAAAGACAGTGTGGGAAAGTTACCTTGGCGACTGTTGCTCACACAACTCTGTGAATATACTAAAAGCCACTGCGGTTCTATTTGTGTGCATGTAGCACTGGAGGTTGAACCCAGGGCCATCGTACCAAGTTATGTGCCCATCACTTTTTTATTTTTTATTGGAGACAGGGTCTCTCTAAGTCATTAGATTGTCCCGGGTGGGCTTGAATTTGTGATCCTCCCGCTTCAGCCTCCCAGAGTGTTTCAATTACAACATGTGCCCCTACACCTGGTTTGAGTTATACTTTGTAAGTTGGTGAATTATAAGGGGTATGATATATATTTCAGCTTTTTCCACCATCTTGGAGCCTGGAGAGGCCCGCCAGGAACAGGATTTCTAAAAGGCAAATATGTCTGGAAGGCTGTGGTGCAAGGCCATTTTTGCTGGCTATAAGCAGGGTCTCCGGAACCAGAGGGAATACACAGCTCTTCTTAAAATTGAAGATGTTTATGCCCGGGATGAAACAGAATTCTACTTGGGCAAGAGATGTACTTATGTGTACAAAGCGAAAAACAACACAGTGACTCCAGGTGGCACACCAAACAAAACCAGAGTGATCTGGAGAAAAGTAACTCGGGTCCATGGAAATAGCGGCATGGTTCGTGCCAGGTTCTGAAACAACCTTCCTGCTAAGGCCATCGGAAACCGAATCCATGTGATGCTGTACTCCTCAAGAATTTAAACTAATGGAAAATAAAAGTGCATTTGTGGGGCTGGTGAGATGGCTCAGTGGTCTAAAGCACCTACTTAGAAGAAGCTAAGCTAAGCAAAGCACAGGGACCGTGGTTCGATCCCCCAGCACCACATGCCAGCCAGCCCTGCCCCCTGGTGGGCTGAGCTGCCCCCCCCACACTAAAATAAAATAAAAACACTTTTTTTAAAAAAGTGCATTTGTGCTCTTGTTTAAAAAAAAGATATATATTTCAGTAAAACTCTTACCAATGTGCACACACGCACGCACACATACACAATACCAAAAACAAACCTTGAAAGTATAGTTCAAAGGTAGAACCCTGACTTTCATGGGTTCAATCTCTAGCACCAAAAAACCGAAAGAATAACCCCTACAATAAGTATCCTAAAGTAACTGCAAACTGTAAAACAAACAATAGCAAAGAGAATGGCCAGATCCTCCCATGACTCTCCACCTACCCAAGCTATAGGCTTGCACTCAGAGCCCGCCCTCACATCATCCTGGCCTTCATGTTTCCTGCTAGCATCATATTCATTTTGTGCTCTGGGCTTTGTGGTGCTTTCCTTCTTCCAGGATTTCTCCCTCAACAGCACTTTCTTTCTTTTTTTTTTTTTTCCTCAACAGCACTTTCTGTCTTCCTGTGCCAGGCGGCTTCATACTTAGCCCTGCCCCCATCAACCTCTTCACTTCTCCCTATTTCTTTCCTAGCCGTCAGCAGCAGGAGAACTTACTGCATGTATCCATCCATGAGTTAATTTGGGGTTTGACTTCCTTAGAAGGGCAAGGATGGCAGTCTTCCTCACTTCCTCAGGGCTGGCACTTGGAGCTGGGCTTAGTCTGAGCAGGCACCCAGTCCACATTGGTGAGAAAACTGAGGGACAGAATGAAGTGACTGCGCTTTTTTAGGGAAAAGGTAACTTTCAAGTCAGGCATAGTGGCACACAGTGTGAAACCCCAGGTATTTAGGAGACCAAGGCCGGAACATGAAAGCTTGAGGCCAGCCTGGGCAGTTTAGCAAGACTGTATGCAGTAATGTAGCTCAGCACTCCTTCAGTCCAATCTGCAGTACTACACACACACACACACACACACACACACACACACACACACACACACACAAACACACCCTCAGGGTTGGAGGTATTGCTCAATAGCAGAGTGCTTCTCTAGCATGAACAAGACTTTAGGTCAGATCCCTAGCACAACCCCCTCAGAAGTGCTCAGCAGATGCTGTAATCCCAGCTCTTTGGGAGGCTGAGGTGGGAGGTTCACAAGTGGGAGACTAGTCTGGGAAAGTTAGCAAGAGATGCCTTGGATGAAAAAATAAAAAGGACTTGGGATGGAGCTCAGCACTCCTTAGGGAGTGCTCCTTAACCTTAATCCCCCGTACTACCAAAACAAATAACTGGGTATTTTTATTCCTGTGAGTTATAACAGTCTGTATGCCCTGTGAATCCAGACTCAATATTTCTACATCTTGTTACACACACACACACACACACACACACACACACACACACACAATGTGGAATAGCAATGGCTCCTCAAATTCATCTTGACCTAAACTGAGTGGACTCCCCTCCCCCCATGCTTGCTTCTTCACTGTCTGTGTCCTACATTTGGCTCATGGTTCTACCTCTGACTTCCTACCCAAGCCTCCCTCTCCTCTACCCACTTTACTCACCGAGCACTGGTGCCTATCGTGTCTGCCTCCAGAATATCTCTGTCCCACCCAGTCTGCTTTCCTCCCAAATTGTAGGCATGAGACCGCTGCTCCTCGCATTACCTTTCTATGGCACAACTAAGAATGACTTCCAAGCTCCATCTGTGCTCTGGCTACGGTATTTTATCATCTTTCCACCCCACCCTTTCTGGCACTTTCTGCTTCAACCACAATGAACTTTTCATAGCCCTTGGCTTCATCAGCCTCCTGGCAAACTGTAGGCCTTCACACTATGATTCCTTTACCTGCTGCATTCTTGACCCCTTGTCCACCTTACACTCAAGACTTCGAGGCCCAGTGCTGTCATAGGAAGGAGTCCCTCACTCCACTGTAAAGCTGTCTGTCTTCCTCTGTGCTTTGGCTCCTTTCATTATTGTTCTTGCCACACCGTACTGTAATGACACATTTACATACTGTCTTTTGTCCTAGATGATGACACCTTGAGCAATAGGTCTGGCTGTGACTTGTTGTGAGCACCTAGCTGGGTCACTAGCAAACAGCAGGTTCTCAAATGAAAGGATGTCCAGGGAACTGCCAAAATAGAGGCCGCTGCTGAGGGGAGGAGGCCAGCGGGGCTGAGCAGAACAGCCTGAGGAGAAGAGGGAGGGCATCCTGCCTGGGAAATGAGCTGGGGAAAAGCACCCTGTGGCTAAACAGCACGGTGTGTCTGGGACTTCAGCGGGAGCCTGGGCTCCTTGTCAAAACCATCGCGAACCTTAAGGGGAGATTTCATGCTGCCTGGCCACCCACCTATCCCCACCAAGCTGGCTTTCATCATCACCAAGACAAGGATCTGGTACCATCTCTCCTCAAACTTTTTTTTTTTTTTTTAATTTTATTTATTTATGTGTGTGTGTGTGTGTGTGTGTGTGTGTGTGTGGCCGGCTCAGCCCACCAGGGGGCGGGGCTGGCTGGCATGTGGTGCTGGGGGATTGAACCGCGGTCCCTGTGCTTTGCTAAGCTTGTTCTAAGTAGGTGCTTTAGACCACTGAGCCATCTCACCAGCCCTCTCCTCAAACTTTCTGTGTCTCTATTTCCCTCATTCTCCAGAGGAACTAGAAGTCCTCAGGAAAAGGCTCCCTTAGCTCCCTCCACCAAATTTACAAACCTACCTGTGCTCCTTCAACATCCTCGTGATGATGAAAGATATGTCCTTCCTGACCCTCCATCGTCCTGGACATGTCCTTGCAGGTTACCCTTCCTCTGGGCTAGCAAGCATATTTCTAGGACATAAGCTGACGAGCTGGCTTCAAAACCTGCCCCTGACTGTTTAGGTGCTTCATGACCTCAGACAAGCTGTGTAACCTCCATTTGTGACAGAGAGGTAATCAGAATATCTTCCTTGTAGGGCAAGTATGAGGATTAGATAAGATTTTAAAAGTGTGTGCAAGGCACAGCGTCCACCCAAAAATCACTCAGTAAATAGCTAAAATGAATATGTCCTGCTAAAAGAACTAAACTTTTTCCTTGACCCATTTCCCCCACCACCTACTGGCCCATTTTTCAGCCCCTTATCACAGAGAAATTCCTAAAGAAGGTTGTCACCCTCTCTGGTTCCTTATTTTCTATTTTCTTCTCAACTCAATCCACAGTGGCCTCCATCCTAACTACACCCATGAAACCACCCCCGTCAAGATCACCAGTGAACTTTTATGTCACACAGCAGCAGTCATTCCTGTGTTCTCATCTCATGTGACCTCTCAGCTGCTTCCACACAGACAGCCACATCCTCCTTGAATCAGTGTCTTCTCTTAGATTCCAGAACACCACCCCCGCTGAGCTTCTTCCTCTCTCTCAGGCTACTCCACAGTCCCCCTTGGCCAGCTTTCATTCCCACTTCCAGATGGCCAACAGGTCCAGGGCCGTGTTCTGGGGCTCTGTGTTCTCCTGGTGTCTGGCCCAATCCTGTAGTTTTAAATACCATGCACATGAGATGCACATGACCATAACTTCTGACTTTGTATGTCCTCATAAATCCTAAACTAATCTACTACACCCAGGCTTCTATTTGTGAAATTCACTCTACGATTATTTGTCCACTTGTTTATTATTAGATACCTCAAAGTTATTTGGTAATGTATATACCTCACAATTTATTTCTTCACTGATAAAGCCCATCTTAGGAAAGGATACCATCATTCCCAGAGTTATCCCAATTAAAAATATAAAAGTCAAAAATTAAGTATGAAGTCTTGTGCCTGGAATGCCGGCTATTCAAGAGGCTGAGGCAAAAAGATTGTCTGAGCCTATTAGTTCAAAACCAGCCTGGGCATCATAATGAGAGCCTGTCTCTAAAAACAAAATCTTTGATATCACTCTTTTTTTTTTTTTTTTTTTTTCGGAACCAGGGATTGAACTCAGGCCTTTGAGGTTGCCAGGGAAGCGCTTATTCCACTAAGCCATCTCCCCAGCCCCTTTGATGTCCTTTGTGATTCCTCCTTTTTTCTTATTCTTCACATCCATCCCTGTATGTTCAAGCCACATGCTGAATTCATCTCCTCTCCATCTCTGCCACTGACACCCTGAACAGAGCCACCCCCGTCTTGCCTTATGATATGCACAGTGGAAGGGCATTATAGGTAAGGGAACATGTGCGGAGACCAAAAGAGGTACACAAAGGTGTTAGCCCCTCAAGCAGGAAGAATGCATAGAGTGTTCTAGGAGGAGAGGCTGACACCAAGTGGGGAAGCCACACAGAAATGCAATGAGACAATGACATGGAGATGCAGGGGCTCAACTCAACATCAAGGGTCGGACAGTGTGGAGGGATGGGGAAGGGAGCAGTGGGAAAGAGGCTGGAACTGGGTTCAAGGTTCTGAAGTCCTGGTGGGGAGCAGGGAGTTGGATAGGAATGGAGAAACAAGCAGAACCTAGCACTGTTTAGAGGAACAATGACTAGGACATGAAAACTCACAGAACACAGGGGATGGAAAAGAAAAGAAGTCAGGCCTGGTGGCACACTCGGAAGAGAGGCAGGAGATTCCCTGAGAGTTTAAGGCCAGCCTGGGCTACACAGCAAGTCTCAGAAAAAGAAAGAAAAGAATCACAAGTGCTTCTTGGAGAAGACTGAGAACTGAAGGTAAAGCAGGGGCCACTGACCTGGGGGAGGGGGGTTCTGATCTGGGGGAGGAGGGTTCTGCCCTGGGCTCTGGGAAAAACTGGAGTCATCTCAGGATCCCATGCCTGGGTCTCAGAGAACCAGGACTTTCATGAAGTGGATTCTGGGGGTCCTAGGCTGAAGGCAGTGAGGGAATTAGGAAATCAACAGATTTGAGGGGCCCCTTTTCCATGAGGCCAGTGCTGTAAAGGATGCTCAGAGGTTGGGATGGGGTCTCACCTGCCTGTGCTCCGTCCTGTCCTGGTCGTGGGTGAACTGTAAGACACAAGAAAGGGTTGAGGAGACCTATCATCCCACAGCTCTACCACCCTTCCTCTTGAGCATGGCTACCATCACCTACCTTCATAGTGAGCTGCAATTGCTCTGCGAGCCCGTGTTCTCTGGCCTTTTGGTGCTGAAAATCAAGGACAGAGAAATGAGCAGACCAGACTCCCATGGGGGAATCCCTCCCTCTCAGGACATGGCCCCCTCAATCCTGTCCAGATTCCTGGCCTCATAACCTCAGCACTAGTCTTCTTCATAAGTGGAGGGACTATATATTTTGTCACCCAATTGGGATACTTCTGAGAGCACAAGGGGGTGCTGGGGTTCCGGTGTAGCCCAGGGGTACAGCGCTTGCCCAGCACACATGTAATCCTGGCTTCTGTCCTTGGGGGGGGGGGAGTCCCACAGAGGTAACAGGTAAAGATAGGCCAACACAGTCTTGCCCATGCCCACTATAACGTATGACCGTGTGACAACCTATTAAGTGTCTTTGTTTATTGAGACCCAGGCCCCTGACTCTACTCTTTTCCTTATCAGTGCGCCAACAGGCCTCCCCACTCCAGGTCATCCCCCTTCACATTTAGGGTGAGCCAGATGAAAAACAAATTCAGGTGACAAAAGCAGCTTCAGAGCAAGGGTTTTAATTCCTAAATTCGGATCTCAAATGGTTAGCCATACTACTCTGAATCTCCTTTAGTGCTCTGTGCCTCAGTTTCTCTGTAAGGACAGCAGCTTTTGCTCTTCACAGGAAGATGCACAAAAGCAGGAATAGACCTAGAAGCCACCATGGACTGGCCATTCCTGTCACTCCTGATGCTGAGAGGGATGCTCACCACTTCTGCGAGGCCGGACTAGTGGCTTCAGGAAAGGCACAACATCCTGGCTCTCCTCTGTCCGGGGACTCAGTTCCTAGGGGAAATAGGAGCAGAACTAAACCAGGGCCTCCCTGTGACATAATCTGACTCCAGCAGGCCTGTCCAAAGAGCCAGTAATAGGCACATCGTCTTAGAGACAGGTCAGGCCCCATCAACCCTTTCTAGAGACCAGCAGCACCTCCCAGGTTCCATCCCTAACCAGAACAAACCCTGCGCTCCACAGGCACCAACATGCCACTCAGTATCACAGGACACACAGTGCAGCCTCCATCTCCCACAGAGGCCCGTATACCTCATAGCTATACTTCACCATAGTCAATAAACATTTCATACTCAGATGGCACAACCCTGGCACAAATCCCTCACATACACGGTTACCCTCACACACACAAACACACATACCTGTGCATACTGGTGCACCCATTCACACGCATGGGAACACACACTCATGCATGAGGATCTTCATGCACACATGGGACACACCTCACACATTGCTGGCACAGCCAGCACACACTCTGCAGCCGCAGCTCCCTCCGCCTGTCCAGCAGCCAGCACACAGTGCCCAACCTACTCACCCGAGACTCTGGCTCTAGGTCCTCCTCTGCTGCCAGCTCCCCCTGGGAAAGCTCCTGCTGTGAAGGACGTAGCGTCATCCTGTCCCTTGCCACCTGACATCTTGCCCTCCACCCATCCTCGGGTTCCCTGGCCCTCAGCCCACCCGGCCCCCATTGCGGTCTTCGCTCCTCATGTGCCCAGGGAGGGGTGCACTGTGAGGCCTCACCTGGGCAGACAGCGATGCCCGGCTCCCCAGGCTGACCACAGCTAGCAGGAGGCCAAGGCAGGCCAGCGCCAGGCCCAGGCCCAGCATGAAGGGGGCCAGCAGGGCGGTGCCCGGCTCCCCCCTGCGCCCCCTCCGCCTCTGGCTCCGACGGGCGGCCATGGGGGCGGGGGGCTGTGCCTGCCTCACCGCCCCCCCATCCCGGGACCCGAGGGAACGGGGAGGGGGAGCCGGCGGGCGGAGCGGGCCGGAGAGAGGGAGGGGCCAGGGAAACGGGGCGGGAGGGGGGGATGAGGACAGGAAGCCGGACACTGTGGGTGTGCGGTGCGCTCGGAGCTCGTCCTCGGCGGAGCGCCTGCCGCGCGCGGAGCCCGTGTGCACCTGGAGGGGCTGCGCTGCGAGCGCTCAGGCCGGGCAGGCGCTCGGGGTGTGAGGGCGGCCGCGGCGGGACTGCGCATCTGGAGGCCCTTCCCGCGGGGGCCGAGGAAGGGAGCGAAAGCAGCTCCACCCAGGCCCGAGTGTCCGGTGACCCGGCCTGGGGGCTGCGCTCCCGCCCGGAGGCAGCACGGGGCCCCGCGCCCCACTCCGCGCCCGCGTGGTGAGGCCGGGACGCCCTCCTCCTCCCCAGCTGTACACGCGCTTCGATCTTATCTGCTGCATCTGAAGACTGTTCTTTCCAGGAAGTAACTGGAAAAGAGCCTGAGGACATCCATTCACCTTGGTCTTGTGCTCACTTTGAGCAAATCACTTGGAAATTAGTGGAAACTTAGGCTGCAAGGATGCAGACAGTGAAGGCAGAGCTGAGAAATGGCGCGGCCCGCCCGGGTTCCCACGACGGCCTGGCTCGGGAGCGCGGCGCCATTTCAGCCAACAGCCGGAGCGCAGCGCTAGGGAGGGCTGCAGGAGTGCAGTACATGAGTTTGGGAAAAGCTGGGCCCGTCTGGTCATGAAAAGTTTTGTAAGCAGCAACGTCTCCAAAGGTTCATTTAGTCTGCGATGGTCATTTCTGCACATTTACAGTGAAAAGTAGTAAAAAGTACTGTTGCGGGTGCAGCCGTGTAGCTCAGTGGTAGTGCACTTGCATGTGCAAGTCCCACAGCCCAGGCCCCTTCCACCCTCACCACTCTTCTCACTTACTTCCTTTCTGCTGCAGCACCTGCTGAACTTCCTCTTCCTCTTCAGGGTCTCCAACATTGATTTACTACACTCTAAACACTCAGCTTACCCCGGACTCCCCCCCCGCCCCCAGCCTATGCTGGGCAGTGTGGGTCACTTGAAGGAAGTTTTTTAGGTCATCTTTTAGAATTAGGATCCCCTGCTCCCCTCGTTTTCTATTCATGCACCCTTTTTCTCATAGTAATCGGGATTTGTAATGATTTATTTGATTACTTGGGCATTGTATATCTCAATAGTATTGTAAAACATGAATGTCTTTTTTTTTTTTTTTTTTTTTGAGGCCTCTTCTCACTGTGTAGCCCAGCTTGGCCTCAAATTCATCAGGATCAGCCTCCCTAGACCTGGGGTGATAAGCATGTGCCTTCACACCTGGCTAAATGTTGTAATTTTTCTTTCCCTTTATTTTTTCCAGTGCTACAGTTCAAACCTAGAGCCATACTTGAGACAGCAGAGCTGTCTCAAGTCCCTCCCAGTTTCTCTGCACAGCTCTGAGGTCAGGGCTCTTGAAGACAGAACTAAGCATAGGCATGCTGTGTTGAAGCTATGAATCTGACATTGAGTAAACAATTCTTAGATTTCCACTGACTTGGATGAATGAGCCATTACAATAGAACTTTGCCAACTTGTATGCTTACTGTGTGGAACAACTGGAAAAGAAAAACCCTGCCACAAGGTCAGTCACACTCCTATGCCTCTAGTTCCTCTTCAGATCCACTAAAATAAAAGTAGAGAATAATGGGAGAGGGAGAAAATATAAAGTGGTTGTGCCATGCTTGTGCTGCTAAGGAGAGGCGATGTCCTTGGTCACTAAGAAAAGGTAAGAGGAGGGCTGGGGCAGGAATTTGGAAGTGGTTGGAGGTTAGCAGAAGGGTGAGCAGCCCAGCTGATGACCTGACCCCACTAGTCCTCCCCAACCAAAAGGCAGTTTCTCTCAGACACCCTGCCTCTAACGAAATGGAACCAATCTTATAAGAGAAATTCTGACTTCTAGTGTGCATCCCAGCATGCATCATAAAATAAATCTTCCTGATTCTAGGATTTAAAGTGACCAAAAGTTGGTCACCAGTGGTTCCCTACCCAAACTGAAACTTTCCATATTATCCAAAAAGTTTCTAGGCAAAAATTCTACCCAAAAGAAACCTACAGGATAAGTGGTAAAATTATACACCAGGAGAGAAAGTTTTGGCTACATAGTTGTTTTTTGTTTTTGTACTGAAGATGGAACACAGGGGTGAGCAATGAGTTACATTCCCTGGCCTAGTTTTTATTTTCATATTCTCAGGGTCTTGTTAAATCACTAAATTGCCCTGGCTGGCTTGAGCTTGCAATCCTCCTGCCTTGGACTCTCAGAGCGCTGGATTGCAGGTGTGTGCTCCCATGCCTCACTCAATAGAAGGTTTTTAAAATCTAAAACTGGGGAGTGGGGGACACTCCTATGATAGCTAGATAGCTGAGTTGATAGAGTGGAGGACTGTAAAATAGGAAAAGATAGAACTCAAGGAGAAAAGATAAAACACAGAAGCCTAATGTAAAAAGAACAAGTGCAGTAGTTATTAGGAATCTCAGAAAATGAGAATAAATAAAATGGAGGGAAGAAAAAGATCTTAGAAAAAAAATTAGATAATTAGCCTAATTTCCAGGCCTAAAGATATGTCTTTTTTTTTTTTTTTTTTTTTTTTTACCGGAGATTGAACTCAGGCCCTTGAGCTTGCCAGGGAAGTGCTTATTCCACTGAGCCATCTTCCCGGCCCCAAGATAAGTCTTTTTTCAAAAAAATTTTAATCATTTATTTGGTATAAGGTCTCGCTATGTAGCAAGGACTCCTAGTGATCCTCCTGTCCCAGCCTCCCCACTATTGGGATTACAGGTGTGAACCACCACATCCGCTTTCGGTAGCCTGGTCAGCTAGGCTTCCGGGGGTGGTACAATATGTGGTACTGGGGATCAAACCTGGATCCTTGTGCTTCCCAGGCAGGGACTTGGGCCACTGAGCTATCTTCCCAACTTATCTCCATTGTCAGTTTAGTTTGTGTTCAAGAAAATAAATGACCCACCCTGCCATGCCGGTTCCCCACCACCCGCTCGTGGGCACTGAGATGGTGATGGAGACTGGGTGTGGTGGCATGTGCCCCTGGAATCCCAGTGCTTGGGAGGCTGGAAACAGGAGAATCTCTATGAGCCTGATTTATGTAATGAGACCCTGCAGACACTGTACTAAATACATTAAAAAAAAAAAAAGAAGGATTTTTTTGGGGGGGTGGCTGGCTCAGGATGCCTTCACGGCAGGTCTGGCAAGGCTTGAGGATATGGGGCTCGAACCACAGCATCCTGAGCCTGACTGCTTTGTTGAAGCACTCACTTAAACCACTGAGCTAATGGGCAGGCCCCCTATAGTGTTTATTTGAGACAGGGTCTCACTGTGCATTTCAGGCTGGCCTGGCCCAGTTAGCCTCAAGCTTGTGTTGATCCTCCTGCCTCAACCTCCCAAGTATTGGGATTACAGGCGTGTGCTACCACACCTGGCTATGAATGATAATTTCAAAAATTAAAGATACGATATCTTGATCTGTTTTCTGTTGCTGATGATGCACTACCACACAGTGAGTAATTTAAAAGAAAAGAGATTTACTTTATGTCATGCTTCTGGTCCAAGGTCTAAGGGCCACATCCAGTGATGGCCTTCTTGCTAGCAGAGGCCCGTGTGGCCACATCACATGGCGAGAGACGAGAGTACGTGAGAGAGCTAAGCAAACTGGCTTTTATAGCAGACCTACTCGAGATAACCCATTAATAACATAAATGGATTAATTCACTCATGAGGGCAGAGTCCTAATCATCTTTTAAAGTTTCCACGGGTGCCACCTTTTAATATCTCATAATAAAGATTAAATTTCAACATGAGTTTCAAAAGGGACAAATCATATTCCAAGTATAGCATATGATAGAGGTAAAGAATGCAAAAAGAAACAAGAACAAGTAGAATTTCCAGTTTTAAAGCTAAAGAAAACATCCATGACTTAAGTGAGAAACTGACACATTCTCTTTGGAGTGATACATGGATTATGGAATTGTGTGGAGAGGTAAGTCTAATCCTAGATTTAGGGCTTTTTGACCTGAGTTAGGCCCACATTTACATTACCATAAGGCAAATACTCTCTGTCAGGTTTCAATATATATTATTTGTTTGAACTCAGGTCCTTATACTTGGAAGGCGAGCACTTATTCTACTGAGCTATTTCCCTGGCCCCTGTTTGTTTGTTGTTGATACAGGGTCTCATTACTGCAGTTTGGACTCATAGGAATCCTCCTGTCTCAGCCTCCCCGACACTGGAATTACAGGCATGCACCCTCACACCAGGTTTTGGTGGCGGGTATGACATGCGGTACCAGTTATCGAACCTGGGTCCTTGAGCTTGCCAGGCAGGCACTTAGACCACTGAGCTATCTCCCCAGCCAAGGTTTCAACTTTTATTTTATTTATTTATTTTTTAATGTACTTAGTACAGAGTCTCACTACACAGATCAGACTTGTAGTGATCCTTCTGTTTTTATCCTCCCAAGTGCTGGGATTACAGGCATGCACCACCATGCCCAGTCTCAGTCACCATCTCAGTGCCCCCAGGCAGCTGGGCCAGCACGGCATAATGAGGATCAAACCCCTGCAGGCACTTTAGTCTGCTGAGCTATCTGGCCAGCCTTGGTTTCAACTTTTGGAATCCCCCTGTAGAAAAATCTGAATTAAAAAAAAAGAAAAATCTAGAAGACTTGGTTACAATTCAGCAAAAGATCACAAATGCTCACCATCTTGACGTTTGCAAGGTGAAGCTCAAGGAGAGGTTGCATGTGGAAGCAGAGAGAGAAGGAAGGCCTATAAACTAGCTTCTCTCAGCCAGGCACTGATAAAAGTAGATGGAGAAATATTACAGACAGCCAAGTTAGGTAGAAATATAATCAGACAGGACTGGGCCCCTGAGGGAGTCAGTGCAGAGGATGAGATTCCACCAGGACTGTGGCTGGAGGCGCACCTGAAGATTAAAGCCACAATGCCTGGGTGTAAGAAATTCCCTAAGGGATGAACAAGAGCCTTGGGATT